CAATCGTCTAAGATGTCGGTTTTCCTCACTGTTGAATCGGTCGGACAACTCGTCAGTTTCGAGTCGGGCATCGGTGAGTTCGCGTTTCAATTCTTCGTTCTGACGTGTCTTCTCCAGTAAGTGAGATACCGTCTCGTCCAGTTTTATCTGTTGTGTGTATGTGTGTGTGTGTGTGTGTGTGTGTGTGTGTGTGTATGAGTGTGTGTATATATATATATGTATGTGTCATGATCATTAAGAAAGAGGCTCACCTTCAAAGCTTCGATCTCTTCTTGCATGCAGTTGAAGCTCATGCGGTCGCTTTCCGGCAGCTGTAAGATGGCCACCAATCGCTCTTTCTCATCTTTCAATTTGTTGATTTCCGATCTGTCGGCCACTTCTCTGCTGTGATTGGCAGACATCGTTCGAGAGGCTTCCTCTCTTTGGAGTTTCAGCAACTCAGTCAGCGAGTTGTTTTCTCGCGAGAGTTGGGCGCAACGTGTGTTCAGCTCCGTGTTTTCCAGTTTTAGCCACTCAAAAAGTCGTCGCATGTCGTTTTCGGCATTGAATTTGTCATCGTCGTTGTGGTGAAAGTTGGAGACGAAGTTGTAGTTGTCGCCGTAGTCGTCGTCGTTGTCGTCGTGGAAGTTGCTGCCGTTGCTGTTGTGGTTGATGATGTTTTCAAAGTGGTAGTATATGTTATCCATACCGTCGTAAATATCATGATTGCAGTTGCTGTTGCTGGTGTTGTTGTTGATGTTGTTGCTGATGTTGTTGTTGATGATGTCATCAGAGTTATTTATAGCTACGCGGTTGTTTATATTGTTGATGATAATTGATGGATTATTTATATCGCAAGCAATTAAGCTGTCCTGGTTCTTATTACGCATGTTGTTTATGTTGATGTTGCTGTTGTTGTTGATGTTGTTGTTGTTGGTGTTGTTGTCGATGACTTCATTGTTGTTGTTGATGACGTCATTGTTGTTGAGAGGTTTAACAACATCAACATCGCTATAACTCACGGGGGTTTTATCTAAATTGTTTTCCCCACATTTTTGTTGATGTTGTTGTCCTGTATGTTTAGATTGTTGATGTTGTTGCTGCTGCTGTTGTTGTTGTTGTTGTTGCATACTTATCAGCCTATCAATTCCACTACAAACATCATCATCATCGATGACGTCATCATCGCCGTTGCCAACGTCATCATCGTCGAAGTCAGAATCAATCAAAAGTGAAGAAGATGATGAAGAAGATGAGGATGAAAATGATAATGATGGAGATGACGATGATGATGGCCGGATGGGTGTGTTTGTAAAGTGCGCCGTGTGTATTGTTGTTGTTTCTTTGTTGCTGTTGTTGTTACTCTTGTTGATGTTGATGTTGGTTTCCGTAATGTTATTAGTGTCATCAAATTTAGATTTTGTTGATAATAATGTTGATGGTGGTGATGATAATGATGATTGAGATAATGATGTCAGAGGTGATAATAATGACGATGATGACGACGACGACGATGTTGTCATTGTAGTTGATGAAGCGGCTTCGGAGGCGACTGCTGTGGCTGTTGCTGATGATAACTTTGATGATGACGACAACGATGTAGAAGAAGTTGGAAAAACTTTCAAAGCAAGCGTTACAACTCGCGTTCTCATGTCATCTTCAATGGGAAAATCTCTATTTTGATCATCCTCTTCATCTTCTTCATCATCATCTTCATCATCATCTTCATCGTCATCAAAAATACTGCTACTAGTACAATCGTCAACAATACGATTACCATTATCATTACTACCACTACTACTACTACCACAAAAACTTGCAGTAGTAGTAGTAGTAGTAGTAGTAGTAGTAGAAGTAGTAGTAGTAGTAGTAGTAGTAGTAGTAGTAACATTATTTTCTCTTGTAGACACTCCATTTACGATATCACATACATTAGCGTATGTTTTAATTATATCAGTCGAAATTATCGTCGATGTAGTAGTAGAAGCAGCAGCAGTAGCAGAAGTAGTAGTAGTAGCAGCAGAAGCAGCAGTAATACTAGTAGTAATAGCAGCAGTAGTAG